ATTACACTTATATTATTCAAAATGTTTCACTATATGAAAGCAGAGATTCAGCATTACTTATGAAGTATTTCTGTTGCCTTTCAATAGACATTTTTAATATCTGTTACCATTTTTTCAAAGGAAAAAAGCAAAGGCTTATCAAGATGAAAAATCATCCTCCTTTTGATAAATCATTTGTTGAGTTCTGAAAAGAGCTTAATAAGTCTGAGGTTTTTAAATAGTGAGTCCCATTTGTGGTTATTTAGTTCTTTGGTTTAATTTCCTGATTCAACCATATTAACAATGATAGAGATTAATAATTATGCAATTATGCTTATTAGTGAAAACAAGCACTTTGCATAGCATGAAAAACATTTTGAGAATTGCTCAACACCGAGTGTTTTTCCAAATGCTTTCTAACCCTTCAGTAGTGTCTTAGGCTTTTCCAAAGCCACTGAGGCAAATGGGAATGTTTCTGATGTCTTCACTGGGAGTTGGATCTGACCCAAACCTAACGGGTATTACAGTTCAGCCATAAAATGTGTCAGAGTCCAACTATTGTATGAGCTTGTCTTCAGGAATTAACATGTTTTCTTTTTCCCCCAAGTGCCCGTATCGAACAGGAGATACAACCAAGATGCTCTCTCTGACAACTTTACAAGTTGCACAGCACCCATGCCTGGCAGCAGATACAAAGAAGAGATTTATGATTCCAGCATCATGAAACCCAACAAAATAGAAAACAGGATTCAGCCACCTCACCATCTCATTAAAGAAGAAAACAAGCTAGCTTTTAACAGAGACCTACAAGAAAAAATGAGCATTAATGAAAGCTCTTTTTCAAACTCAGTTGCTAACTCCTTGCTGCCAAAATCAGAATGTTTCCAGTCTAAAGCTTTAGGACAATTAAGTCATCTCCTACCTGTGCCCGCAGTCTATGAACAAACAAGACGGATTTGTATGAAGGAACCCAAATACGGGCATATTAGTCACCATGCTACAAGCCTAAATGAACTGGACAGTGATGAGAGAATGACTGTAAAGCTTGATCACGACTCTGAGAGTGAGCGTGTGATGGATGTAAGACCCTCTGGACAAGTTCCATTTGTGCTTCTAAATTATCATCACGTTTTAGCCAAACATGGCACTTTTCAAACTTCATCATGTACAGCAACGGGACACGTAGGAGAAAATTATGGATACAATTCTGAGGAAGTAAATACGTTTATGTACAAAAATCAAAGCCCCTCATCAGCCTCTTCTCCAGAAACCCACAAGGAAACGTCACTACCCCATTATATTGGAACTTCTGTAATAATAGCCAATGGAAGGTGACAGTAGTAGAAGAGTATTTACATTTAACTAAGAAGCCAAACAGTAATGATTTCCAAAAAGCATGAGAAAACATAGTTACATTTACTGAGCACAGCTGAAGGTCAATGAGGGACAGACTTGTGTGTTCCTGGCAAGACATGTGTGACAGTACCTTCAAGGCGAGGAAAAAAGAATACATCTCGCTTCAGTGCTTTGTTGGCAAGGCTTAAGCTCTGGTGCCAGTGAGAAGATTTGTTGCAGATCTTATTTTTGTTATTTTATAGTGTGCAACAAAATTAAATGATAGGTGTTATATGCAGAGGTTTATATGAAGAACATTTTTTCCCTTAATCCTTCCTTCTCAAAACACATTCAAGATATTATTTTTTTGTTGTTGTCGTTATCATAAACTATACACTCTAGATTAGGTATTTCTGACAAAGTGTGAAACCCTACATCAGCTACCCGTCCATTTGTTACACGTCCTGACAAATGAACTTTGTTTAAAGAGTGGTGATTTTTAGTATCTGTAATGCAGTTGTACTAACCAAACAGAACTAAGTTTGGAACATGCTTATTTATTACTTATTCACACATTTTTTTCAGTATTCAGAAATTTTTACTGCCACCATTTAATCTTAACAAGTGATGGTATCGTGACAAATTAATACATAAAAAGGTATGTATTAAAAGGTTACAGGTCTTGTCATGGTGAACTGGCACAAATCACACAGAAGGAGCTAAAGATATTCCCTAATAAAAACAGTGTAATAAGAAAAAGAAACTTCTAAAAAGTGTATTTTGCTCAATATTTTGGGATAAGGACATGCTGTTATTCAAACCAGGTAGTCAAAATAACATCATAATCTTAGCACCAGAAATGTTCTCTTTATTGTCAAGGGAATAATGAACATTTAAGCATGATTTTAAAATTATTTGTAGCTTTCTGAATTTGGAAAAGTTCAGCTTTTAACACTGGACTTCATTAAGCATAAAACTCATCGTCAACACGAAGGTAAGATTCAGTATTTGACTGATTCACGCACTTCACAGATTATGTCAATGGACAATCTGAGTAAGAAAAGTCCGAAGTCATTGCACAACCACAAGAAGCAAGATTGCACTGGAAGTAGAGCAGGATACCTCAGTGTTTTGAAGTGAACACTTTGCACATGTCTCAGTTACTCCAATAAACTAGCAAGTAGAAGGCATATGCCATGCATTTAAATTTTGTCCAGCCTACTAAGAATAGATTCCCCCTTTTTCACTTCTCCATAAAGTTTGCAAACCAGGAAATAAGGAGACGTATGGGATCTGTGAATGTTTTACTGATGAGTCTGTCCAGTTTGTCTTTCCATCACTTCCCCAAACAGTCTTCATGCGCTTTGGACAAAACAGTGAACGCTCCCCACATAATAGCTGTAAATATCAACACTGAAGGCTGTTGTAGTTCTGAGTCAGCTGTATTTAGCCCCGTTTCTTCACCCAAATCAAGTTTACATTTTAGAAGCTTTCTCCCTCTTATTAGACACTCTAGAAAGAGACCTTTGCTAAAGAAAATGCTTACCTGGCTTGTGCAATATGGAAAAATACTTGCTCATGGATTGCACCTTGTCAGAGGAAAATGTAATGAAATACACACTCTCTTAATTACATGCCCTCCATCTTCTACGTGCAGCAAAAATAATCAGTCACCTCTTTGTATGTATGAATATTTATTGCTATGAGTAAACAAAAATACTTCTAACACATCTGAAAATAATTTTCAGTATTTTTATTGCTTTTGATTAAAACTTTAACAGAGAAAGCTTTGTTATGAAGTTGAATCCATGCTCACTTGGAAACTCAGTCCGTCTGAGTTCATTTACTAAAAAACATATGAAAGATATCTTTCATGATAAATATGATCAGAAGTACCGGATCTGTCGCTACCAAAACACTGACTTTTTAGCAACAACACAAAATGAGCGAAACCAAACCAACACCTTCAGTTTAATTGCACTCCTTCGTTCTTCTCGAGCTGGAGAATGTGGCAAAGCTATAGAAATATGTTATGTGTGAATGTTATTATCATTCTGATGTTATGAATTGCCGAGACATGAGCTGGCTCTATAGCGACTTTCTTTAACGGCCTTCCCAGCCAGTGTTCGTAATGAACGCACCCAACTTCTTAAAAGGTACAATGATGCTAAGACCTGTATGTTAATTTTCTTAAATTAAAGCCATGCCCTATTAAGGAGAAACTGACATTGCATCATTAAAAAGAAACCTGATGCACAACTGCTTCATACTGCATGTCTCCCAATACCTCATTAGTGGCATTGCTGCACACAAAGTCAATCTGCTGTATTTTCCTGTTCTTCTAACTATTTCTCATTACAAAAACATGTTTTCAGGAACATATAAATTAGGTTAAAAACCTCCACTGATATTTTTCATTAAAATACCACAAAATATTTTTCCAGCCTCTACCTTGTTATTCACACTTTCAGGCTTTATTCAACAATCCCAAGTAAAGGAGGTGTTCCATCACCCTCCCACAGAAGTTTTACAGTATATGAGATTCAGATACATGAAATTTCCCTGTTAGGAAATAATGACTCAATTACGCATTCACATCTGATAATGCATTGTAGATTTAAGAAAAGATCTATGATTAAAAAAGCAAACAGTGTGAAACATTTTTCCTGCCATTCAAAAATAGAAACAGCAATTGCATATTCACAGCTGGAATGTGAGCAAATTATATCGAGAGAAAAATACGAGTTCAGACATTGACTTTCAGTCAAACTACAGATGTTCATAGCACATTAATGCTGCAGAATGCGATGTGGCAACTGAGAGTGGCAATGCTCCCAGTAATTGGAAAAAATTATGTCACAGAAGTGGAGTGGGAATAGGAATACATTACAAAAATGCCCAAATTTCTCTCAACAACTGTACACATGTGAGCTGATATAGATACTTCTATCAGAGATGCCTCTTTCGTGCAACTTGACAGGATTGTACATCTCGGGGGAGGGCAGGGCTATAGCAAGTACATGTGGAATGGAAGAGAAAAAAGAGAGTTGAGAGGGGGAATATCTTACCAAAACCTAAAGTTGAAAACATGACTCCCATATTGATGTCTCAAAAGTTTTTCTCCTATTAATGGAAACTGTGCAATGTAAATAAGGTGGTACGGGAACAGACTTCTCTCCTGGTGACAGTAGTTAGGTCATTTCTAAAGGGCATTTCAGTAATTTAATGAAATTGAGTACATTGGGTTAAAGTTGTAAAATTTGAGTGTATCTCACTGAGATAAAGTGGAAAGGCTGCTTTTCTGAAGGGATACCTCCCAGAATATCAGTACTTGTCTCTAAAAACCACAAAACATAACACAAAGGATTTTTTCAATATTTCAGTCATACTTCAAAATTAACACAGAGATAATATTACTAATTTCTTTTTTTTTTTTTTCCTGAACGTTAGGTTTTGCTTTTTTTATATAATGCAGATATGAGCTATTTGGCAAATGTAGGAGAAAAAGCACGCAAATCAAACAATCTATTAATGCTCAGAATTATATATGTATTCCCTAAAAATGTAAAGCATTTTTGCTTATTTATTATGTAAAACAAAACTGTTAAAATGATAATAAAGTCCTGTAGCCAAAGGAAAAGTGAGTTTGATTTGTTTTTCACCACAAAACACAGGGCTTCACATTGTATATTGGAAAATTTATTTCAATTCAACATTTAATTTGACTCTTAATGTCTTACAAAATACAAGGATTTGACGCATCCCATTTAGGCTGCATTGCATTCTAATGGAAGAGTCTTGGAGAACTGAAAATAACACAGAATCGCTAACGAAACACTCTATTGCAAGATATTCAAATACAGCATCAGTTCACAATTCTTCCCTGCAGTTCTTTTAATCAATTGATTGCTACATGATGACAGTCTGCTGCATACCACTGTTTTTTGACCTCTGTTCTTACCTCAGTCCAGATTTAATTTCTTTGCTGTCTGATCAATGCTGTGCATCACTGCCACATCTTATGCATGCAAATGGCTTTATCAGGGCATTTCCCCCCAGGAATCCATCAGCTGTTGGCAGCACAAATCTTTGCCATGACAGCTATTAAGCTGTACTTCAGAAAACATTTATATAGCAATCGTCTATTCCAAAGCAGTTGCAGAGAGTAATTTTTTTAGACTTGTGAAGTCTTGTAGCTGCATCAGAAAAAGCAGGGAAATTAAACAAAGTTGAGCAATAAAATAGCAGCATAAAGAATTAAATACTCCAATATTATTTCTAGATAATAGCCCTTGAAGTATATTATATTTGCTGAAGAGATTTTTAAAAAGCTCTGAAATCTTATAAAACTTTTAATAGAAGTGAGATGCACTGCTTGAACTCTTACCCGTTAAGTATGTTATTCTTTTTTCAAATCTTTGGAAACAGCATTGGTCCTACAGGAACGCAACCCGCGTATTCGTTCTGAATGCAGGCAGGTGCCAACACACCCAGCTCACCCTGCAAAAAGTCTCCCTGCCGACAAACAACCTCTACAGATATTTTCACAATGTGTGATGAGAAAATGTGTAACAGTCTGAGAGAAAAAAAAAAGGAAGTCACAGAAATACAGACCGTAATAAATGCTCTACAAAAGCACTTCATCAGGATATGACATCAGCCTCACACGAAATGTTCCACATCTTAATAAAATTAAACAGTTTCAGTGCATTACTTCCGAGTCCAGAGATGCCTTAGTCTCTCCATACCTGCGTTCTGAGACCACACGACACTACATTTGTCTGTCTTACATAAAGAACAATACTAAAAATGATTTTCACAGCAAAATATTGTGGTTTTCAGAATGCGATATCTGCCATAGTAAGAATACAATCAGTGACTGTGATTCCCAGATATTCCCTTAGGATGAGTGTGGGATAGGAAGGTTCATGGGCTTTCCTGACAGTAGCAGCTGCTAGTCAGAATGACCTTATTCCAATGCTCTCTGTAAGTAGCGTGAATTTTCTTTGTGAGGTTCTTTGATTTTTCTGAAAGGAAGGTCAGGTCTGTAACAAACACTTCACCCAACTCAAGGCCATTTGCCTAAGACAGCAGGTTGCTGCAGACACACATGAAGTGGCCACTAAAAAATAGAGGCAAAGTAGTATCCCCACATCACCTACCAATGCTCTGACAAATCCACAGCTGATAGTTCTCACTTTCAGAAAGGAAGTTCAATGCTAAGTTTCTTGCCAAACTTGTTTTGGAATAATCTTAAAATGTAAAGCAAGAATAAAACATGCATTTCATTGCAAAGAATATGAAGAAAGCCAAATTGGAATAATAGCAATTATTATATTGAAGCATTTTAGTAAGAAAAATACATCTGCTTTCTGCTCAGCACTTGTTTAGCTAAGTGAAGTTTTGCAAGTACTCCATTATGCCCTTCCTACAGGAACATGCTTTATCTTTTTCCCCACTGTTCTTTTACAGTCCCTGCACCTAAAATAGAGAAGAGAATGATGTAAAGAAGTAATGCATGGCCTGGTCATTTAAAGTAAACTCTACAGCCACTCATCAGTCTATCTGAAATAGAAGTGATATCAACTGTGTTTCCTATTGGCAAACTCTACTGTAACAAAACAGACACTTTGAGATCTACAGATTTGAAGTTTTTAAAAATTCTGTTACTGGTCAAAAACCAGTTCTATGCTTTCCACAGCTAGGAAGGAAAAGGTAGAAAAGAAGTGAAAACACACACAGAAGTTGTGTGTATACACATACACACTACACATACAAATGGGCTCCTTTAAAAACTTTATTAACTCAGATTTATATATCATTTTATGATAATATTTGCTTGATTCTGAACTAACGGTAGTTGCCAAAAATTAACAGCCCAAAGCAGTTTTGAAAGCATCTGGGGTGAAAAAGGAAAAATTGGCAATCTTGTGCATCATTTCAGCTAAGCCAATTAACAGCTGTCTACACTACCCTGTACAATTCTAGGAAATACTGGTGTGCAGTCATGTTTGACACAGATCACAAGGGGAAACAAAACAGCAGGGGACAGACAACCAGGCACACACACAGATATATTGCGATATGGAGCGTAAAATCCCAAGTGTGAGAGGGACAACTTAATTTCTAGCACTTGCTGCCAAACCACCTAAAACCTAATATGTGAGGATTACTGTAAATTACCATTACAGACTAGCTTCTTTGCTTTAAGACTTCTTGGCTTTGTAACTGAAACAATCTACTAACAAGTTCAGATTGTTTATGAGGTGAACTTTAACCTAAAAAACCCTTTTCTGGCTAGTAGACAAAAGTGCTTTGTAGAAGCCAATCTGGCTGATCCAACTTTAGTAGGGACAAGGTACATAATAAGTGGTGCTTCCTACTAGAGGAAATGAAACCAGCCACATCACACCTATGATAAACTTCTTATTTGAGAGAGCCATTTGAAGTGCTCTGTGGCCAGACAAAATGCAAAGTCGTCTGGCACAGGAGAGAAACCCGATAAGCTGTCTATCACACAGCAGCTCCCACACGCCTACCTCTTGATGCTTTCCAATGAGACCAAACTGTTACACCTAACCCAGAACTGTGCGGCCAGCCCCAAAAGCAAGCATCCTCCTAGTCAGCAGATGCCAAACCTTGTTTTCAGTGGTTAGCAGAAAAAACAGTTGCCCGCTTTGGGAAAGGGATTGGAGAAAAGAGAAGCAATGGAAGAGAATTTGGACATAAGTAACTTTATGTTTTATCATTTCCAGCGGAGTGATTGATGTAGGGATCTTAAGATTGGGACATCTTCTCTTATTCGCTTACCTTCATGACTATTATAGTGATGAACCTGTATAAGGATACTGAAATCAGAAGCTATACTAGTCATGACCCCCAGAGGGCTATTCTTGCAGGGCTAAAGCCTTTCAGAACACTGATTTAAAGGAGACATGAGATGATTCGCTTAGATCCAATTGGCTAAGAAGAGCAGGCTAAAAATAAATCGGCTTAACCAACCATAGTTCTTAAGAGTTGATGGAAGACTCTCCAAAAACTCAAGGCAGCCATGACAGAGTTGCATACCTGTGACCAAAGCACAGTATGTGAATTGTTGTATGTGTTCATGTGGAGAAGAACCAAGTCAGCAAGGATCTACTTAGACCTGAATCTAAATACGGTGTTAAGCCCAGTAATTCAGAAATACATGATGAGCTCTTCCAGATGATTCCACTGCAGACAGTGCAAAAACCAGAATCTAGTTAAAATGTAAATACTTCATTGTGTTAAAGCACAATAAAAATACAGACACCTGAAAACAAAATATTTAGCCACTTCAGTTTCTCACAGTGAGTAATTGAAGAAAAAGTTCTGTTCATTGCACAGTATTCTGTTGAAATCAGAGTCCGTTAAAAGAATATACGCTTAGAAATAATGGCAACATAGATGAGTTTTTAAGACAATACAGAAAAACGACCACCTTCATCAAAAAGATAATTAACTCTTATTAAACCATTGAAGTTATACATCTCAAAGAACAAAAGACATCACAAATAGGAAGAAGAAAACCAAACAAACAAACCATCAAATACTCTTCCCACTTCTACACAAGCTTAGCTACTTGGTATTGAATAGTAAAGAACCTCCTTTTGTGTTGTGAACTCTGAGAACTATTAATGCTTTGGGATTATGAGGTTTTTCAGCATATCAAAAGAGTTGCCGTCTGGATGCACAGACTCTACACCTTTGCCTTCTTCATGAACTTGAAGGAATCCATAATCATCAATCCCAACTATCCATGCCAACGGGCCCTCCTCATTGTGCAGACGAACCTGCTTACCACTGCAGATAGAGAAAACCAGACAGTTATGAATTAATTGACTGCACAAACAATTGAAAAAATAACTTGGAGGACTACTGTCTAGTAGAATATTTTTGCATCTCACTTAAAAGTTAATCCTTTTTTTCTTTCAATTTTGGTGAAAGACCAAAAGACGATGAGTACAGCAGCTTCACTGTTAGCTACACAAATCAAAACCATTCTGTACTCCTTTTTAAATTATTTTTTTCAAGTGATACATGTTAAATACCTACATATGTTCTTTAACCTACCCATCACTTTTACTGTTTTTAGTCTTACCTACAGTGTCACATCCTACTTAGGAATGCACTTCAGTTAAGTTTCAAAGTCAATCTAGTAGAACACTTAAAATGGAAGACAAAACATCCATGAGTTACCTCTGAAAAGAATGTTGGAGAAAAACATTATGCTCACCTGTGTACCCAGTACTTGTAATAACGAGGAAGAACTCCATTGGGCCCTTTCTCCTGAAAAATATCTATAAGCCTCTCTAGCACAGTTACAGTTCTTGCAATAAGGCAGTCTGCAGTTAAAGCTTTCAGATTTGTCCCCTCTTCCTTATTAAATTTTGTGATGAGGTCATTGATGCATATGGTGGGGTTGCTGTTATTCACATTAAATCCAAAACCTGAAGAAGACAAACCAAAAGAACAGCATAGCATCTGTAACCATGAATATTCTGTTACCATCAAAATGTTTGTACTTCATTTAGCTAATACATATAATAGAATCACAGAATCACAGAATGATTATCTTTGAGGATTTTACCAGTATTTCTTCAGTCTTTTACATCTTTTAAACTCCCTACTTGCACAATTACAAATTGCAGTGCAGATTTTGTTTATTATCCTTAAAAGTGTCTCCTCAAAACTGTGGAAGCAAATCCAGCACAGATCTTTCAATAAAAGATTATCCTATCACAAGGTTTAGGTTTAGGAAGACATTAAGTGGTAACTTGTATAATATCCAAGTGAGAAATTCTTTTACTTACTGGAAGTTGACAGCTAACTGAGAGCAAGTCATTGATCATACCCTCAGACGGAGTTTTACCTTTCAGTCTAAATGTAATTAAGATTATTTTTTGTTTACTACAGATAGCTGATTTCATTTTCTGAAAATTAAGCCTTGTTATTCAGCTGACAGCTTTGTTTGGTTTGCTGTGAAAAACCCAGAAGATTAACGTTTGCTGTGCTAGTCTCCAGTTTGCTTAATCTATTTCACCACAGCGTATCTTTTAGAAGCCTCAAGTCTCTCACTGAGATTTCTCCAGCTAGAATAACTGGCGTTTGGCAGAACGCCTTTCTGATTTAAATGTGGCTCTTGGGACCTTTTTTGCAGCCTGCTGAAACAGGCTTTGAGGGATGTAAAGAAATATATTGTATTACCTGTTTATTTTTTTTCCTAATAATTTGGACTTTTCTTTCCTCAGATATTTATGATAAAACACCAGTCCTGTCAATCAAGTTTGCACCTCCATCTGTTGGAAGGTCCAGATGTGTTGCTTTGTAAATTTGCTATCAGAGACTATTCTTATATGTTGTTAATTTTTATTTACTATGAGGAGAAGGATCTCTTCATCAAAAATAAGTGTTTGACTTCTAACTCATAAAAGAATGCATAAAAGAAAGTCTCAGTAACAAATACCAAGATATCAATCCCACTGAAAGATGGAGAAATGTATTACCAGGAAGAGAACTAACTGGAAAAAATAATGTGTCATGCCAGGAGACCACAACTCAACTATTTAAACTCAAGTACAGTACAAGAAGATTCAAACATAATACAAGTGAAGAAGGAATGACAGTAGCCATTATGATACGGTTTTTATTGTCAGGCTGCATAATGTGGCCTTTAAGTCCATCTGCAGACTAACAGCACTCAGGTGTGCACATATGAAGATCGCTGATGACACATCCAAAAACTGAAATGGACATGAAAAACACAATGAGATGATGAGCTCAGCTGACGCAGTAGCATCTGAGAATAAGTGTATTGGCTGGAATGTATAAAGCTAATGTGAAAAATATTAGGTGCACAGACACCTTCTCTTCGCCCATGTGAGAAGGGTAAAAAATTAACATTTAACACTGACCCTGTGGTATGTTATGTGGCTAACACAACTTTCAATTCAAGGGCAAGCACTGGCTTGAACATCTGTGCATTGCTTTCCTCTATTCCACACAGCCATGCCCTAGCTGCACAGTGAAGAGACAGAGTTTCTGCAGGCCAAGCACACTAGCTGTTTCTTTCAACTCAATTATATTTGGCTACCTACATCTGTTCTGAATCTGGCCCCTACACCAATGAAGAAAATTCTATAGAACTCCTCTTCCAAAAGTCTTCCAAGAAAAAAAAAATTGTTTTTTTGCTCTTTTTCATAAAAATGTGAACATGAACTGAGCCATCTGCGAGGCCTCAAGCACACGGTACAGGTGAAAAGGCAGGTTTGTTTCTTGTCTGCTTCTTCTCAGGCACTTCTCAAAGCAGTGAAGGCAAATAGATGACCTGTGATTTTCATCATTATCATCAGAGAATACTCTTTATTAGTGCTAAAAATCAGGTTAGGAAAGGAATCTGCAGGACTACAGAAAGAGGATTTGACAGGGATCTTTTGGAAAGAGTCCAGTGGAGGGCCACAAAGATGATGAAGGCCCTGGAGCATCTCCCTTATGAAGAAAGGCTAAGTGAACTGAGGTTTCTCTGTTTAGCCTTGAGAAAAGAAGACCAAGAGGGGACCAGATCCAGGTTTATAAATATCTAAGGTGTGGCGGGCAGAGTGGTGAGGTCAGACTGTTTTCAGCAGTGTGTGGAGACAGGACAAGGGGAAATGGCCAGAAACTGGAGCATAGGAAGTTCTGCACAGATGTGCACAAGAACTTCTTTACGGTGAGGGTGACGGAGCACTGGAACAGGCTGCCCAGGCAGGTTGTGGAGTCTCCTTCTCTGGAGATATTCAAGACCCGCCTGGACACCTACTTGTGCGACCTGGTGTAGGGAACCTGCTTTGGCAGGGGGGTTGGACTCAATGATCTCTGGAGGTCCTTTCCAACCCCTACGATTCTGTGATTCTGTGATTCCATGAAGAGGATGACCTCTTCGGCTTTCCTGTTGTGTAAGACTGATCTCACTTCTACTACTAACACAAGAAGTTAGATGCCACAAGTCACACTTACTGCCCTCAGTGTCATCACTGAAATGATGGAAACAATCCTTGGAGTAGCATATGAAAAGTAATTTTCTTTGGGCTGCAATGTTTTAAGATTTAAAGCTGATGAAAATGTATGTTTTTGTTTATACTTCAGACCTATAATCACTAAAATGACACCTATGGACATCAGATAGAATGCACACAGTACATTTCCATTTGAATTTGAATGTTCTGGTGTTTGCGATAAGCAGCTCAATGTGCAAAGCTAACCTATAATATGTAAAGAAATAATTGATATGATGAACTGTTTTTTCATCCATTTTTACTTTTCTTACATTAATCAGCTCAGGCTCTGGGAAAACATATGGAAGCAGTAAATGGTTGATGGAGCACAGAGAGACTCTTACTAGTGTCTCAGAGCAACATTCCACTCTGTACATGCAGATTATCTACAAAATGAGGATATAAAAATTAAATAGAAAATTTTATGGCTAGGCATGTATCACAGAAGAAGCTGGTGACTATTTCAACTTTTTTGCTTGTTTGCACCTTAAAATTTACAGCATCTTGACATAAATAGTGTCAGGTTCACATTTTCTTTGCAATACATTTTACTTATATATCATGCTATATAAAATATAAAACAAAAAATCATCTTAATCTTTAACATTTGCTAAGGAACTTGCACTCATTTTTTAGACACATCACAGATAACTGTTTTTGGAAACAGACTAGAGTTTCTGCTGGCAGATATTTAAGCACCTGTGATGGAACTGTGCTGCTGCTTATTAGGGAAAGAATCTTCCTTACCAAATATAGCCAAATATAGCCAGAATTTATAGCCTTTTTGGAACAGGTTTTGCTGCGTGTAGGAATTAAACTTCCAGATGAACAAAATGTCTGCTATTCCTTGTCCTGTCCCTCTCAGCCTTTCCAGCTACTTAGCAAATTTGACTTTTTCTGAGAACTAAAGAAAGGGATTAATTAATCAAATCATTAATCTGCTACTGCTTCACTGGCAACATTCCAATTTCTGGAAAGATATCAACAAAAACAAGTTACAAATGAATTTAAAAGGGATGAAAGGAGAAATGAAAACATTACTATATGTACATAGCTCTTCTCCCAATCTAAAAGGCACATTATTTACTTATCCTTATTTGTCAGTTGCAAAAAAAAAAAAACCAAAAACTAAAAAGAATTAGTAATTCCTATTACTTTTGCAATACATCAAGGAGGACATTTTGCCTTCCTCTTGTAATGCTCTTTCTTTGAACCCCACTACACCAGCTCAGATGCTTGCATTCATGTTTTCCTTGTCACGCATATGGAATTATTAAGATGTATGAAAACATTTACTTATGTGCTTTCTTTTGATTGAACATTGTACTTCATTTCTGTATGCCTGCTGTCACTACTTATTCTCATCATTTGAACTAATAAAGACATTAACAACAAATTTCTTTAGGAAAAAAGAAAGAAGTCTGAAAATAGACATTTACCAATAAGTATATGAAATGTTGTTTCAATAAGTGTAGAGGTTACCAGAACTCCACCAAGCTTCATAAGATCACTGTAATAAATATCATTTGGCCATTTTACTCGCAGGTCAATATCCTAAAGAAACAAAAACATACACATTTAGAAACACTTTGCTCTCTGATACTATTAGAAGAACATGATTCATTTATCACTCCATATTCTATATTTTCTGTACGTCTTTGCCAAACTGAATGTGATACTTTCAGCTCTTCATAATAAGAACCTTTTCAGGTGTTCCACAACTGATACTAAAAAGCCACAATAACATGGTTACATGTTTTATTAAGGAGGTTGGTAGCTGTCAGAGAAAAGTTTCTATTAAGTTAAAAAAGTAAGGTAGATAATAATGGCTTAGAGCAACCAAAAGAAGGACAAACGGTACTAAAGATTTATTGTGTCAAAATCATGAGGTCTTACAGAATTCATTTACTTTGTTCATTAGGCCTTTTTAAGGATTTAAAAGATGTGTTCAAGAAAGATGCAAACTGTGTCAGCACACATGGAAAACTACAGATCAAGTGCAAGTGATGAGAGTAAATTCACAGTAATATCAATGCTAGACTTGAGGATCTTTGCAGAAACTAGGCAAGGAGACAATGCCATTTTGAACACCAGAAAGGAAATTTAGCAGACAGGAGAAATTCCAGTTCACAGCTACATAAATACTTTAGTAACGTCCTTAATACATTCACGCGTTCGGCAGCTACGCTCAAGCAATACCATGGAGCTGGAAACACAAACTGTGCTGTATAACACCATTCCAGCGCAATAGAGAAGTTTTTGTTGAAACTACAGAACTGAACTGAACCTTGCACCGGCTACTTAAACACAAAAAGAAAGCAAATGTGCTTCCTGTAGTTTGAAAAACTGCATATGACCATATCCCAAGAGGCAAATTATGGGAGGTGCTCCAGGACTACAAGAGTCACATTCCCTCCTATTGTAGATTATGAAATCCCTTTACAGGATGTGTGAAAACTGCACCTGGGTTCATGTCCACTTTTCTGACAGATTTAAAGGCCAGAGAGGAGTCCATTATACATACATGGACAGGAAATACTAACTGATTTCGCTATCAAAGCATTTTAAGAGAATATCACCAATTCATATTTGTTATGGAAAACAACTCTTGACACTGAGAAAGCTTTCATAGACATATGCCACAGTTAAACAGTATTATCAGTGCTAAGACATCTTCTGACAGTAACCAAAGGACAGCTCTCCATTCTTTCTGCAAAAGAATGGCAATACGCTCAGTAGATCTTATTTAAGGAAAACATACACCTGTAAGACACCACGCACCAGCATTGCAACTGACGCCACTAAGAAGCATGAAAAATAATCTAGTCAATGGTGTATTTAATGATGCAAAGTACACAGTAAAGACTTGTGTTGTTTGCCACAAAACATGGCTCTGCACAAATATCAATATGTCACAGAAATGATGGGAAAGTCACAGTGGGAATGAAGCATGTTCTTAATTTCCTTTATAGAGAGAAGTTTACGCTGTTCTCAGAATGGGAAAGTAAAACACTCTCTGAATGTGAGCTTGTTTGAATTTGCAGCACTAACGTATGATAGTAAAACTTACAATTGAAACTGTCATGTTTTCTCAAAAAGAGCCCAGAACAAAAACCTCAATCTCGGCCTACTTAGAGCTGCAAACATTCATGACAGAATCCTAAAAACAATGACTGGCTGATAAACTGAGACACATGTATTTTATATCTGCGTATGGAAATCCTGACATGGATTTTGGGGATAGTGAACCACATTAAATTGTGTTAAAGTAATATTAAGATTCTTACATACGCCCACGGAGGTATGGAAATTTAGAGGTAAGAATGAAACCACTTTTCTAAATTAGCCCATTGTTTTCAGCTGCTGTGCTATGTCTATTCATCTGACACTGAGAAAAACTAAGCGATACTCAAGTCCAAAGGGGAAATTTAAGCTTTGAGTTTCAGATAAATCTTTGAATTTGCTTGCTTTGATGTATTTGAGTCTGGACCCTCAACGTTATTTTAATCCATTGTCTTGTGTGTGATTTACTGGGGGAGGGAAAGATGGGATGGGACATCACAACAAGAGAATTCAATCCTCTCAATTATGTATACTGGAAGATTTTTTTAATATGTGTTTCTCGTCTGTCAAAGAGATTGAGTTAGCTCTGCCTTGGATATCAAGCTACTGGGAAGACAGAAAGTCTCCAAGTAAGTTTGGTACCACAATATCTACATTATTAGTTCACATTATATTTATATTAACACTTAGTATGTCAGTCATATTATTCATCTAGAATGGAATAAAATAGAATAAAAAGACACAGGTAGGCATATAGAAGCAAAAACACCTCCACTCCTAAATTAACTCCTTCTCCAGTCAGACTCATATTTTGTAAAACTAACCCTTGTCCCTTCCATTTCAAATGGTTAAATTATTCACTCCAGCCAAATACTTCATACTGTAAATTTTAGCCTGAAGCATTTTGCTTTTATAGTCAAGTTATGAAGCACTGAAGTTAGAAGGTTTTAATAGAAAGGCTGACAGACCCTAAACTACAGCAAAGCTACTGGGTGCCACTATAATAAAGTTCATGTGTAAATGTGTATAAGTCATTGATTTTCTGTAATATAGGAAACATATGCTTTAGTTAACTACTTCTGTAAAATACCAAAGTTTTATAGTTAGCAAATATTAGGAAATGGTAACATTAAAAAGGAGATATATGAGGTGCTGAAGAAGACTGGTTCTTCATTTTAATACTGATGACAGGACACTTGATTCCCTCTTGAGAGCAATACTCCTAAGTTCTTGCCTTAGAAATCAGTTTTCAACCTTAAACAAGAGTTGGAAAAATCCTTTAAAAGGGATAAAGCGAGCACTGAAACAGCACTGACAAAAAAAGCAGAAAAGGATTTGTCGATTTTATTCGTTTTTCCTTCCTCTCACTTCCCCTGCTACTCCAGAACCAAAACAAATTAACTCAATTGTTAGACAAACAAAAATGACATTTTCATTTTAAGATTGAATCTTAAGTTTTGCCAGATTATGAGAGAAGTGAGGGTAGTATACTCAGCTCAATAAAAGACAGTATTTGCCATATGCATACTAGATTTCTTAAAACATATAAATAGTCAAGTACGTATAAACTTACTACTGTTGTTCACCACTGTATTAGTGTTGTGTCATTCAATGTATAGAAGACACACTAAAAATCAGATTTTAATGAAAATAGAAACAAATTTTGAGATTAATTAAAATGAGATACCTCATATCCTGGTAATGATCTAACCGACTCTACCATTGCCAAGGACACTAGGTGTTGAATAAAAGGAATTCTCTGGCCCAAGTTGGAATGTAGAGGAATTGTGATATGTAAAGTGGATAGTGCACAACCAATGGGACTGAGCCAAACATTTCCACCACGACCTGGGGAGGGGGAGAAAAAAATTAACTTCAACACAAGAAAAAAAACGTTAAAACAAACATCACTTTGTTAATGTAGATAACTACATGAGAGAAAGATTCATCAGTACCCACCTCAGAACATACGGTTAAGTCCTGTAAAGAAGTTTCCAAACTAATTTTGAAAGAAAATGTTTTAAGTGTTTAAGTCTTTAAGTTTAAAGACACAAAAACAAGCAGCTTGTTTAATGTGCATGCTGCTACTTGGTTTCCTAGAATGTCCTAAATGACTTGTTTCCAATATTTTCCTGGTATTGGGTAACAAACACTTTCCAAATAATATCGCTTTGTTTAAGTAAAGAAGTATTTGTGAAGATATTTTGAGTGTGTCTACAAATCCATCCATACAGTGAATCATCTTGACACAAGCTAGATTTCAGCCAGAAACTGGTTAATCATCTTCATGTAGATCTATGTTCAGAAGAGCTTATTAGCCAGGGCATTGTGCTTTTGCACCAAACTGAAAGTGACTTTTAAATAAGTGGTAGCATCTTCCAAGGAAAAAGGCAGAACCTGCTTGTATATGCTTGCAAAAGATTGTGAAAGCCCATGTGACATTTTAAGACAGTCCTGCAGACTCAGCAGAACCTCTGTCTCAGAGCAAGTCAAGAACCAGTCTTGTTCCAGTTAAATCAAAAAGGAGTTCTGATTTGGAAGTCTGACTTGTATTACACTAAATGCATAGTGATGGCAGTTTGCATGAGTGCAGAGACTTTTTGGCAGAAACTAGAGGACCACTAAATCATTTCTGCAAAAGCCACCAAACATCCTGAAAATGTTTACTTTGGTCTCTGCTAACTTAGGTTTTGAATTTAAATCCACAATTCAAGCAAGAGAAGAGGACAGTGTTATTCTGTAATTTATTACCAAAAAATACTTATAATGTATCTTTAGTGCAATTATGTGACATTAAAATGGTCTATTCTGTATGTTCAATATGCATTTATTAGAACTTGAAGGAAACTTACTAACCTTTCCCTTGTGTTTGTCGAACAGCGATTGCTATTAAACCCATCTCCTCAGGCAACTTGAACATTAACCTGTCAATTAAGGAAAAAAAAACATGCTTATCAGCTGGAACACTAAGCTACATTCATGAGAATTTAGGTTTAAATATCAGGTAATATTTTACATTAACATTGCACTACCATTTATCCTTTTTCAGTTAATATTTATTCTTGACCAAAAAGCATTAGAATATTTAAAAAGATTAATTGAAAAATTATCATGTAAAACATTACTGTATCTATTACACTGGAAAAAATTATAGCCAGAGTTCATTCAAGGTGCCTTCCGATAACACACGTTTTGCATTTCTTCACATTTTCTTGAATTGCTTATTTTTTGTGTGTTGCTATCTTCAGTAAGTGACAACTAGCAATTCTAGACATTTGTTTCTACTTAAAGCATTTTTTTTTTCATACTACAGAATATAACAGCAGCAGTTTCTGATTATTTAGAAAACCAATATGGTGGCAATAAAGCAGTTTAAAAGATACACTATCCCCTGAGAACTAATTATGATTTAACTACAGTAAATAAATCTACACCTTCTGAGAGCTCTAGAGAACACTGGCTTATTTTAGGCTTGTGTTCTGCTTTTAAAATAGTTTCACTTAAAAGAATACTAACTTTCCTCTGGGGATAAGTAGAAAGTGCACTTTAACACCACCAAATGAGTCAATGCTAGACTTAAAAAAGAAGAAAAAAAAAAACCTACTGTGAGAACTTTGTTCAAGCTGTTTTAAAACAGATATGAATTGTGCTATGATCCTTCTTCGTTTCACATTTTTGGGAAGAGTTACTTAACAGATAAAATAGATATTCAAGATGGTGCCAGCAAGGCAAACTCAGAGACAGATTAATAGCCTAAAACTCTACTTCTAATATGGACACAAATATCACCTTGTTCATTCATACAAAAGTGGTCTTGTCTTAGAGATAAGCGCAGCCCAATCCTTCAAAACTATTTTCTCTGAATTTCAGATACATATGAAAAGTGCTTAAAGTTCTGAAATCAAGCATCGCTGAGTGGAAGGGACCAGCTCCAAGCACAAGCATGGCCCCACTGCTCACCAGACAGATATTTTGGCAGACATCATGCTAAGGAACCAGCCAGATGGCCTACCTTGCAGTTTGACATTAGTAACTCAAAGGGCAACATCAATAGCAAGAAGATTCAGAATAGCTTTCAAAGGGTTCACTTGCTTTCATAATGATCAAAATGGTATGCTATTTGAAGACTAAAATAATGCCTGGATTACAAATGTCTTTAATAATTAGAAATGTTTTTGAACCAGAACTAACAGAAGCCTTGACAGACCAGCAAAATTTTTCCACAGGACCACAAAATCAGAAAGATGCTGTCAATAGCAATAGCCAGATCTCTTCGACAATCTCTTTCATTGAGTTACAGTTTGACAATTCATAACTTTGGACACTACAAATTATTTGTCAAGACTATGATCACTAATCTACTGTCAGCATTGAGAAAACATCTCCACTTATGCTGGGATCTAGCAGAAAATCCTAGGCAGCTCTTTATGTCCATGTTGCTTCAGCACTGTCATCTGGGAACAGCATGATTTCAATTACACCAAGTTCATAGCTTTGCAACAAGAAAATCTAATTTAAATTTGGAAGCTCAGTTAAGAAGAGATTACAGGCTTTGTCAAAAAACAATGATTTCTGTTTCTTCTCCATTCATACTTGTTTATAAATAGGAAAAAAAAAAAGTAATTTGTTGCCACGATTGGAGGAAAATAATCAAAGCAGGAAAAAAAGTAAGTATAAATCCAAAGCACAGGCTGTAGAACAAAGAGATACGATCAACAGAATGCATGAATGTAGCTATTAGAGGCTTGGCAGCAGGTAACAACTTATTAAACACAAAGACTGAGTTTGTGCTTTTAAGAGTCATGAATATATTCTTCAAGATGGACACAACATGGGGAAGTTGCTAATACCCAGACTGATATAGCAAGAGAGAGAGAGATTTATTTTTACTATTTCCTGAGATTGTTCTGGGAATATCATGAAGTCTAAGATAGTAAAAGAGAAGAAAACAACACAACCCTCACTCAGCTTCAGGGCTTTGTAAATTGTGTGTGCTTGCTAGGCTTTTTTTTCTGAGAGAAACAACTTGTATTTTCCTTTCCAGAAGGAGAAACTGTACGTGCACTTTTTTGCATTTCGACTTCCCCTCTTTTCTTTCAACTTAATCAGTTGCAGACGTAACTATTTCATTTTCCTGCAAAGTAACTTAATCACAATGTTCACCAAGTTTTTCTCCTAAATTTTTGCCTTCATGAAATTCTCTGTTCTTTATTCTGTTCTGTAACAAAATTGCTCTATAAATTAAGTCAGAAGACCACACTGAAATACAAGAGCAGGAAAACGTGGAACATCTGAAAACAAATTTACCCATTAGGAGAAATATCAGACAGCACTTATATGGCTGCAGATGAAGGCACTTGAATTGTATGTAAATTTTTCTTCTCTGCCTTGGCCATTTTTGTGGGATTTTCCAAAATGTAAGCAAAGCGCTTTTGGTGTGCAAGAATGTTAGAACAGTTGAAATATGAAAACAGATTCTAGCCTAATTTTTATACATCCTGTAACACATAGCATGAGTGCTGTCAAGAGCAATAAACAATACCTAATTACTTAAAAGGAATTTTAAGTCTGAGAATGTATCTGTCTTTATAACTACTCAACACAATGACTTTTCTTTTGACGTGAATATTATATGGGAATTGAAACCACAGAAACTATGTTTGAATTATGTTAGCGGCCTGACAACTATAAATTTCATTGATGTTGTGGGTTTAAGGTTGAAATTCTCATTAATGCATCCTGCTGTGTTACAGTATTGCAGAGGTATTACAACAGGCAGCATTACATTCCAGATGTTAAAATACCTGGGCACAAGTGGGTGAGTTATGAACAGATTTCTCCCTTCACTCCAAGTTTCTGAAAATCCCACTCTCAAATAGCTTGTTTGTAACTACTGTTTACACAGGAAATTATAAAATAACATAAAATCTTTCAATGTTTAGTTGAAAGGAAAATAACACATCTTTTGATACGTTTCTTGTACTACTTTGGACAAAAAGGTGGCCTGAACACTTGCCTTACTGCTTAATATCCACTGTTTCTGTTCATTACATCCAGTCTGAAAACAAGCAGTGTTGATGCCCACTAGTATTTTTCCTAAACTCTCCATTGCTCTCCATTTCCTCTTTATAGCACTCAATTGCATGGTGCTGTGTTTGATTCCAGGCTGTGTGTGCTGAAAGGCCTGCCAGAGGGCATGCTGGCCAAGCATAACAGATCTCTCAAGTCCACACTGTATAGACTTTCTTAGTGGCAGCGCTGATATGGGTCCCTCTTCCTTATCTGGAAGCCTGTTTTCAAGAGAACATGAAAACCTGAAGGAACAGCTCAAATATATGCAGTTCTCCTGCAAAGTAGGTGGCAGTCTGATTAAGGGCTGGTGGGCCACTATCTGAGCAGAAGCCAGCACGAATGACATCATGGTGGGAGGGAATTTGTTACAGGCCAAAAGGACAAAGGAGAAAAGTCTTTTTGAACAGCTTGAGAACATCTGCAGATGACAGATCCTGATTCCTATGGGAAACTCTAATCTCCCTGATAACTGATAAAAAGGAAACAGAGTGGGACGCAAGCAATCCAGGTGACTTGTAGAGGGTGCCAAAGGCAAGCTCTTAACATAAATGTTAGGTCAAGTGTGACCAATCTGCAGTATACAGACTGCATGAGGCTCTGAACAGCCAGCAATGCAGCTCCACAGGATTGTAAACTGTTAACATTACTATGATTTTTAGTGTTATTTTTCATGGGTAGATCATGCGTAGCTCGAGTACAGGCAGCATAGGTGACAAGGAATGCTGTGTTATTTTGTAAAATTATTTCATAAGTGAGCACATTCACTGTAGAAGAAATATCCAGAACACTTGTGTGGTGCTGACAAATCTTGTAATTTTCAACATCTCAAAAATCCACAAAAGTATAAAATAATTTGTAATATGCGATATGCTTTTATTTAGCCTTGATCAGTAGTATTAGTTTGATTAGTTTTTAATTAGTGTTTGATTCATGTTTTTGGGAGTACATACATTTGTGAACAACTTTTTCAAGGATGAAGCACAGGAACAGTATCACAGAATCACTAAGATTGGAAAAGACCTATATGATCATCCAGTCCAACCATCCACCTATCACCAATGGTTCTCGCAAAACCATATCCCTCAACACAACATCCAAACGTTCCTTGAACACCTCCAGGGAAGGGGATTCCACCACCTCCCTGGGCAGCCCATTCCAGTGCCTGACCACCCTTTCAGAGAAGTAGTATTTCCTAATATCCAGCCTGAATCTTCCCTGGCACAGCTTGAAACCATTCCCTCTAGTCCTAAAAAACAACAAAAAAAAACTTTGATGAACACCTTGAGAACTCACTAAAAATTGCAACCACAGAATCACAGAATCACAGAATCACAACCACTTCCATAGAACCATACATTGATGCATTAATTTCACAAAAGCCAAATATCCCACTGGTTTAATGTTTTTGTTGCCCTCTTTTTTAATATTTTAATTAAAAATATATTTTAAAAAGAAACTTTGTTACTTACATACATTAACTACATGACAGATTTTATATGCAGCCCAAGACAACAACTCTTCAGTCAATGCAACCCAGGGACAAAAGGTGGACACCCATATGTTAGATTATCTACACCTTGGTCTACTGCGAACAAGGGAGAGCAAGCTGTGGAAGTGATAATATGTGGCAGTCTTGGCCATAGCAACTACGATCCAATACCATTCAAGATTCTGACAGGAATAAGGAAGGTAACGGAGTACAAATTCTGGATTTCACAAAAATTCGAGACCTAGTAGGTGGCATCTTAATAAGAGGCAGCTCTAAAAGACATAGGAGCTCAGCAAACCCAGTCTTTAAAGAACCTCCCCTGCCAACACAACAGCCCATCACAGTATTTAGGAAAAAGGTTAG